TATTTAATGCTATAATTATCATAAAAAATAGTCATGATGCAACAAGACACATCAAGATCAAACCATGGAACTTCATTAAGATTTAGAGAATAACAACAAATATAAAGAATTAGAATACCACACCCCCACACTTAAATGCGACTATGTCCCCATAGTTCACGAAGCAGAAAAATGAAAGACAGTGACAACAAAAGAAACTAAACTTTCCTGAGATTTTGATGGAATAGCATCCACTGCAGCCTTGGTGAAGTTTGCGAAAAACTATCTGACGGTGGGTAGGGTGGGGGATGGAATCCTACATGCTGAAAATATGCCATTATATAATGCTCCATTCGCCTTTGGCATTCTTCAATTTTTTCTCGTCCCATACTAAGCTGCTCTAATCTCTCCTATGTGGTGGAACTTGAACCAGAACCTGCTCCTGCATCGACCTGGGGAGAATTAGGCTCACCCTTATCCATGGGTCCCGACCACCTTGATTTCAACTTGTCTAGTGGTTCCTTAGTTGATGGCTTGTCTTTCTTTTCACTAGAGCTACAAATCTCCTCAAATATGAAGTTTCTTGGTGCATTAAACTGAGGTCTCACTTCTAGCAAAGCTACTTGCTCATTGACTTCTTCATTCTTAATGTAACTACTTTCTCCAATCATGATACCTTATTCTAATGCATGTTTAAAGCAATTTTTCTTAAAAACACCTTGCACGACCAAATCAAATATATCAATCATAAAACAAGTATCTTTTGAAGTATGTGCATATTTCATAGATTCAGACATATAAAAAGTAATTTTCTCACCAAATACCTTAATAGTTAATTTACCATCATGAACATCAATTAAAGCTCTAGTAGTTGCTAGAAATGGTCTTCCTAAGATAATCAGTATCTCAAAATCCTCTTCCATATCTAAGATCACAAAGTCTACTGAAAATATAAAATTATCAACCTTAACTAGCTCATTTTCTATTATTCTAACCAAAATTTTGATAGACCTATCTGCTAATTGCAAAGTAATCCTGGTAAGCTTAGGTTTTCTGAATCCTAGCTTCTTGTAAGTATTATATGGCATCAAATTAATGCTAGCTCCTAAATCACATAATTCTTTTTTAATTGAAAGATCACCTAAGTCATATGGAATAGTAAACTTACCTGAATTCTTCAACTTTTATGGTATCTTGTTTTGCAAAATAACTAAGCATTCTTTGTTAAACATCACCGTGGCCATGTCTTCCAACTTCTTTTTGTTTGAAAAAATATATTTCAGGAACTTTGCATAGCTAGGCATCTGTTTTAAAGCTTCAACCAAAGAAATGTTGATATGTAATTGTTTAAAAATATCCAAAAACTTACTGAATTTCTTATCCTTTTCTTGTTGCTTCAATCTCCCTAAATATGGAATGTTGGAGTGTTCTCCTCCTTGATTGGGTTGTTCCTTCTCTTGATCTCCTTTTTTTCTTCATCTTTCTCCTTATTTGGGTTGCTCTCATTTGCTTGTGTTCTCTTGGTTGCTTCCACTTCCACAAATTACTTTCCACTCCTCAATGTTATAGCATTCACATGCTCTATTGGGTTGGTCTTTATGTTGCTTAGAAAAGTTCCTTGGGCACGTTACGAAATTAACGTTGCCAACTGCACAATTTGGTTCTCTAGACTCTTGATGGAAACTTCATTACTTTGCAGCCTAGTATTTGTTGCTGTCATGAATTTGGAGAGAATATCCTCTATGTTTGGT